ATTAAAGCATTACAAACCTTAGCTACCATAGGAGAACTAATCTTCTTATAAAAAAGCAACCTCAACATGCAAGGCCATAATAACAAATGCTAGGAGCAACCATATCACAATCATTATAGTTCAACCACATGATAGCAAGCATTCATGCCACAATAAACAATGCAAAGTTAACATTAGTAGTTATTTAAGTCTTACTACCTTGATCTAAAAGCTCTTTGATTCTTTGATCTTCTTCCTCTCCTCCACAATTATCAAACCCTAACATCACAATGCATAAAAAGGGCAGCAAGATTACTAGCCAAACTATAACAAAATCAATAATAAAACTCAAGTAATTCCTTAGCCTTTAAAGCTTCAATCTTTGTTCTTTAATTTTAGAGCTTTGTTTCCTTAACCCTAAAAATCCTTTCATGGTTCATTCCTATATGATTTTTCATGTAGATTCAAAATATGCACTTGGATTTAGGTTGGCCGAGTACTTAGGTTTAGGTTCCAAAAATTACAATTTTGATTCTAAAGCTTGCAACACTTGTTCTTTAGGTTTATCCTACAGTATTTTCTATTTTGTACACAATGGAAGCATTAAAACATTGAAAAGTTCATTGTAAGGTTTAGTTTCCTTCTTGGATGAACAGTACCTCTTGAGGAACAACAAAGAAATCTTTTCAAAAACAACCTACAACCACTTGAAACTACTTGGAATAACCAAGATTTGAAGTGTTTTAACAAGTTTAAACAATAAAACTTCCTCCCCTCCATGATGGTCATTTCAACCAGCAACCAAGAAGAGGAAAAACAAAATTTTCCAGCCATACAAATCAAGAAAACAAGGCAAGGAACAACTTGAAACCAAAAACTAATTTTAAATCTTAGTTGGATGATCAAAGTTGCTTACTTTTCTCTTGATTCCTCCTCAAGCTCTCTCTTTTCCTCTCTTTTCTCCCATTGGCTAAACATGAGAGTCTTGAAAGGGGGAGGATGAGCTTCCTTTAATGCCAAAACAAACATCTCAATCACCAACATTAATGCTATGCCATGTGTCATCTTCCTAATTAATCTTGAATCTCTCTCTTAATTAACTTAATCCAAAAGTAATTAATTTCCCAAAAGTCAAGATCCTCTCCATTAGTGGCTTGACAAGTGGCAAAGTGTGGGCTAAGCAAAGTGTGAGACTCTACTTCTTACATTATTGGTGCACTTTTGCTCTGAATTTAATTTCTTTTCTATAATTATAGTACTCTGGCCTCTGTAATTATTTTCTATTAGATCCATAATTTATTTGCCTCATTTTTCTGTTCCCAAAATGCCCTTTTTGTCTCAATTCACAAATTCCATTAATTAAATAAAAAGGAAAATTAATTTCCTTCTCCTTAATGATTTTTCTACTTGTCAAGGGAATTAGAAAAAATCTTGAACATTTGAAGGTCTCTTTTTAATCCCATAATCTCTTATAATTTCTTGGGACATCATAGGAATTTTCTTGAAATTTTATTCTCCTTCTAAATATTTATTTGGAATTTTCCAAATAAAAGGCCTTAAATTAGGCTAAATCACTCTTAAATTCGTTTGTAATTTTTTCAAGGGTAATTTGGTTATAAAACCAATTATATAACCTCATATAATTCTTAAGAAATATTATCCTTATTTTTTTTAATTTTCTGAGGCTTAAAAATATTTTTTCATAATTATTTTTGACCAATTTTTCTTAATTAGTCAAACTTTCAAAATTGATTTGGAAAATCATACTAATTATTTTCTACCATAATTCTTCTATTTCTCCTTCTCATTTTTGGCCCTTAAATTTTTAAAAATATCATTACTGGATGTGACAGATAAAGCCCAATCTTTACATGGTTTTCTTAAGTATTTTCTAATGTTTTGCAACACTTTTGCCCTCATTATGCATGCATCTATATCCTTTTGATTACATCAATCCATGCATTGCATTCTATGTTTAAGGGTAAAAATGGTCTTTGTTGCTCTTTTCAGGCATTTGGAGGAAGATTTAAGACCCAAGATGGAGTATTGACGGAGCCATAAATTCATAAGAGTCAAAATGCAAGACTGGGGTATTTATGTGTTCTCAGGTCACGACTTGGACTTTTGAGGTCGTGATTATCCATTTTGGAGCTAAGTCAAGATTGAATGTGCCTCTATGTTCCTAGGTTGCAACATGGCTTTATGAGGTCACGACTTGAATTTCTAAGGTCGTGACCTAAATATGTTTAGTGGAGTTATGCATTTTGGAATAAGTTATTCTGCAATTAGACTTAAGGAAAGCAGCCACCACGAATCAGAGAGCCTCCATCCTACATATTTGTAAGGAGATGAACCTCAACCATTTTCTCTCAAGACTATTGATTCTATACCTCAAACTTCCATTTTTCTTTAGTTTTCCACCGTTTTCTGTGATTTTGAACTGATTAAATCACTCTTACCACCTTCTTCTCCATTTTGCCAACCCCTTTTTTAGCATGACTCATGGATGAAAATACCTAGAGAGATTATGACTTGTTTAAAGACATGAGAGGCTAAATCATTAGCCTCTTGGTGATGGAGGACGAAGCTTGAGCTCAAGGACTTAATAGAGGAGTTTATTAGTCTAAATCTATGCTTAAATTTGTATTAAACATTTCTATATTTAGGAATTTCTACACTTATGTAAGACTTGATTACTGATTTGTAAATCTTGTGTTTAGACTATTATATTTGGATTGGATGCTGTTTAATGTTGAAATTTCTATATAAATATATTGGTTTTGAATCCTTGTGTTTAGCTGGTTGTTAGTGATCTTTGATAATTAATTTGTTTACTTGGTATTCTGTGGTTGTTGATTGGTAATCTGAGGGCATTTGCATCATCCATTCATCTATACTCTAAGTGGTTTCAATAATGTTTTAAAAGGTATTAATTAACTTTGATTAAAGTGAGTTTTCATTAATTAAAATATTAGACCCAAGTGATTGCTTGGGTTTTTATCAGACTTAAAGATTTCTAAAACTCCTATTTCAATTTAAGAGCAAGGATAGCTAAACCTTCATCATCAAGAGTCTATTTATTACTTTCCCACTTAATCCAAGTCATTCTTTAATTCATTTAAAAGACTAAAAAGATCTACAGCTTTGCCTTTTACCTTATTTGCACTATGGTTTTATCATTTCAAACCCCCTTTCTTTACCCAAATTAACATGTTTTTAATAATAATGTAGACTAGGATTTCCAATAAAGCGCTCCTTGAGAAGAACGACTAGTTACACCCTATATTGTATTATCTAGTGCAATCACTTTCTTGATGACCCAGAAGGTGACATTCTGGTCTGATCAGGCATCCATTTCTATTTGGCCAAATAGTATACATAACAGGATTAGGATTTTTATTTTTGATTCCAATGCTTTTAAACACTTTCTCTTGGTGTTTTTCCACATAAAAACACATTCTAAATTCACTAAAATCATCAAATTAAATTGAAACAATGTCTAACCCTTTTAATCAAGCTTGGCCGAATAAGTGCCCTAATTAGGGAACTTGGAGTTTCTTCCAAAAATCAATCAAAACATCAACCAAGCAAGCCAATCCAAGATCTAAATCATGGTTTCTATCCTTCCCTAATTATTCCTCAATATTTCAAAATTTGGACAACATGTACCTTATGATTTTTGTCACCAAACTTCACTTGAAACAAGCTAGAAACATAGTCAAATTAAAGCTTTAACATACCTTGATTAATTCTTGATTCTTGCTTAACAATTCCTTGATCTTTTCAGTGTTTTCTTTGCGCTTTAAAACCAGTTATTTTATAGCAAAACCTTCCCCATTTAAGGTGCCAAAATAACCAAATTGAAGAGCATAGGAGGGGGTATATATAGACTAAGATTTCAGCCTTTTTTCCCTCCAAATATCCACAAACAATCTTGATGAAAAGGCCATGTGTCTGCTCCAATAAGCTGCAGAAAATTTGGTGAAGCCAAGTATCCTAAGGTGTCATGATGTTTAGCATAAAATCATGTATTAATTTGTAATATTTTATTCCCTAATCTTTTAGGCCCCTTGGACCACAAATTTACTATTCAGTCCTGGCCCAAAATAATGCTCAGTGGACTGGAGGAAGAAGGAAGGAATATTACCTTTCATCTCCAAACATTTTTCTACTTGATTTCACCATATCAGCTAAAATTCATGTCTAATTTTCAATAATATTTTTGGACTGCCAAAAATTCATTCTTACCCATCTAAAATCATATTTTTAATATAGGAAGGTTTCTTGAATTTTTCTAGAATTTATCTCAACCTCCAACTATCTGAATTGAATTTTCTCCGAAATCAGGCTTTACTGATAAAATTTCAGCAATAAATATTCTAAAATTAATCCTTTTACTTTTAAGGCCTAGAAATAATTTTATAAACTCAAATAAATCCTTAAATAATTTTTCATATTTTTTCCAGATTTATTGAGGCCTATATATATTTAAAATAATTATTTTTGGCTAATTTTCCACTGTTTTACTGAAAAAACCTCTGTTTACAAAAAATTCTATAATAAATTATTTTCATGCTATTTTCACCTTCAAGGCCTCAAATAGAGTTCCAAGCCTCCTAATTTGTCTTTTTACTATTTTTTGGAAATTTTTAGGAATTTTTCTCTAATTTTTTCATTTTGTCCTTCGTAGATCGATAATATCAAAAATATCAGTCCAAACAAGAGTCAGATCTCAACTCAAAAGTTGTTTCAACTCTAAATCTACTTTGCTATTTGACCCTCTATCTAATTTATTATTCACACTCCTATGGTTAAAACTGGTGGGATGTAACAGGTAACCCCCAGAGCTGAGAAACCCTTAACAAGGGCAAGTCATGAAGAAATCTCCTACGGCAATAGCAGGAATAGAATAAAGCCTAATCCTAGTAGGAGGCCGAGGAGGGGATCCAGACAAGAAGGCTTTAACACTTCTTGAAAGGGAAAGAATGTGAGGTCTATGGCAGGAATCACGGAGATCGGCTATGTGTGATGGGCCAGAAAGTGTGCTACAAATGTGGCAAGTTGGGACACTTTGCCAGGGAGTGCCTGATAGCTCAAGGCTAATGTCTGAAGGAAGAGTATTTGCCCTCAATAAGGAAGAGGCTCGTAGGTCACCCGAGATGATACAAGGTACAATTAGTGTTAATGATTGCCTTGTGCATGCTATATTTGATTCGGGCGCCAGCCACTCCTATATCTCGTATGATTATATTAGGCACTTAGGCCTTACTATTGATGCTTTGCCACATGATCTTTATTTTTCCACCCCTACTGATGCTAAAGTTTTAACTTCTAGTGTGTGCTTAAATTGCATTGCTCGGTATGCACATTATTGCATTATGTTAGACCTTATATGCATTCTGTTCTATGATATTGATGTTATTATTGGCTTGACTGGTTATCTTTGGATAATATACTCTTCAACTGTAAGAACAAAACCCTAATCCTTCCTGCACAAGAAACAACCCCTTGCACAGAGATAAAGCTGAATTTTGTGATTGAGGCTCAAGCAGATAGATATTTGAGGCAGGGTTGCTAAGGGTATATGGTATTTTTCTCAGTATGGGTAAAAATTGAAGTGGGGATTTAAGAAATTCTAGTGGTGTGTGATTTCCCTAAACTTTTTCCAAAAGAAATCGATGGACTACCACTAAAGAGAGTAGTAGTGTTCGCTATTGATCTAATACCAGGGACAAAACCAATTTCCAAAGCCCCTTATCAGATAGCTCTGAATAAGATAGCAGAGCTAAAGAAGCAAATAGAAGAGCTATTAGAGAAGGGCTTCATCCGACCTAGTATATCTCCATGGGGCGTACTAGTGTTATTTGTAAGGAAGAAAGATGGAAGCTTGAGGTTTTATATTGATTATGGAGAACAAAATAAAGTGATGATCAAGAATAAGTATCCACTTCCCCGAATTAATGACTTGCTGGATCAATTAGCTAGTGCAAATATATTAGTAGGGCCAAGTAGTCGCCTATGCCTCATCACAATTTAAATCACATGAAGAGAATTACCCTACACATGACCTTAAGTTGGTGGCGATAGTGTATGCCTTGAAGATCTGGAGGCATTACCTGTATAGGGTAACTATTGAGTTGTACTGTGATCATAAAAGTCTCAAACACCTGTGCCACACCTACTTTATCACCATATTATGTGTCAATTGGAACCATTACAATCCATTTACCATGGCTCAGGAATGCAAAATTTCAAGATTTAATATTTTCCTCTTGTGTGCTATCCGTACACTGTTCACAAATTTTTGAGCCAAATTTGAAAACTCATAACTAATTCTAAAAAAAAAAAATCAAAATTGAGTGGTTCCACTTTTCACTTAAAGCTTGCTACAAGTTATTTTAAGGAAAAATACTCCGTGGACTCATATCTATCTGAGACAGAGCTAGAAAATTCGACAAAGTGCACTGTTCATATGGTAAATTTTTGAATTTTCAGTATTTTATCCCAACTTTGGAAGGGCATAACTCTTCGCAAAAGCCTTTGATTTGAACGTTCTACCACTTGATTTAAAGCTAAAAATATTATCTATAAGTTTGTCAAATCTTAGGTCCAAACTCAAAGAAATGCTTATTCTTTCATGTGTCCCAAGTTTGGCCTTTTTTAGGGACATTTTACCCCCTAGTTGAGTCTAACTTTATCTTTCCTTCACCTTTTATCCATCCTCAACCTTTTAAGACTTGTGATGTACTTGTACATACATTCTAGTATACTTATACATGTTCACACATGTTCACACATGTTCACACATGTTCATCTCTATAAAGGAGCTATTATCCAACAAACACAAAACATTCAAAATATTACATAACATAACATAATATCCAGTAGCAATGTCACTAAGCATTTACATGTCTTTCAGTCACTACTTCCTGACTCTTACCCTTGCTTGATCCACCTCCTAAGGTTAGTTTAAACATAGGGGGATGAGATTTCAAAAAAAAAAAATTCCAGTAGCAGAGAATCATAATTATCATGCAATCATACAAACATAATGTGACTTGCTTTTGTGCACATAACTTTATTGCTCATACATAATAAAATGCCATAGAAAGTAAGTCAGTTCATTCATATTCACATAATGTAATGTCAAGGCATGCTTAATATAAACATTGCAATCATAATTTACAGCATAGCTTAGTCACATCATGACATTCAAAGCAAATACACATAAATGAATGCAAGAAAGCATTTTAATCATAATTCAATGCTACCTCTTGTGTCCTTAGTGACTTGTTCCCCTTTGATTTAGGGTGTCTCCTTGATGGTTAGGCAAAGTACAAACCAACATCAATGTAATCATTTACCAACCATTCAAACACATTATCCAATACTTGAACATTAAACCCCTTTTCCTTGGATTTTTGACCTAATTATTTTCCCTTTGTTTCAATCAATCTCTTAGGTCCTTCCTATATAATTTTTCATGTAGAATCCAAATATCCAATTAGATTTTACAAAATCACAGTCCTTCCCTTTCATTTAAGCTTGGCCTAATAGGGGTCTATATTTTCCAAAAATTTTATTTTTGATTCGAATGATTTCAAACACTTCCCTTTAGTATATTCTTACACAAAAACATCTTTTGAACTCATTGAAATTATCAAAACACATCCAAACAAACTCCTAACCTAAGATAGCATAGTGGCAAAATTGATGTGTCTTGAAGCCTATGTTGATTTTTTTCCAAAACCAATCCATACATCACTTAAACATGCTTATTCCACATCATATTTAAGGTTTCAATCCTTCCCTAAAGCATAAGCATGTTAACTGAATTTATGGCAGCAAAACACCTCCAAAATAATTCAATTTCCTAACCAAAACAAGCTTTAATCTTAACCAAACCAAGGCTCAAACATACCCTGGTGAATCCTTGATTAAAACTTGATAATTTCTTGTCCAAAAGCACTTACCAAAATCAGCCTCCAGCTCCAAAAATGAAATGGGCAGCACCTCCCCTTATTTTACTAATTTTTTACCTATTTTTGGGTATTTTAAGGGGGTATCTATAGACATCCATAAGCTGCCCAAACTTGCCCTTAGCCAGCTATTTTTCTACCTAAAAACCCCTCAAATTTTCGTTCAAAATGCAGAAAAATTAGTGGCCATGTGATCTTTGCTTGCTCACCAAGTAAAGTTAATCCAATGGTCAAAATTTGCCAACAAATTGACGTGTGGTCTCAGGGCCTTGGGGAGCACGTTCCTCCTGACCAAAATGGATTAACTAAATGTCCAAATCTGGTTGGGAAGTAATGGAGTTGGTTTAGTTTAATTCCATTTACAATCTTCCATCCAATAACCCTTTTTAGCCTTGTATGAGGAAAAATAGCTTGGGGCCTCAAAAAATTTATTTCTTTCCATGATAAATCTTCATTTATTCTAAAAGTATGATCTAAAAGGTTTTGGAATTTTTCACAACCTCTAACTATTTATTTCACAATTTTTCTGAAATCAGGCTTTTACCGATAGAATTTCAGAAGTAAATTCCCTATAAATTATTCCCTTCATTTCCAATGCCTGGAAACAATTTAGAAATTCACATATATTCCTAAGGAATTTATCCATATTTTTTTTGAATTATTGAGGCCCTTACATAATTAAAATAATTATATTTCATCAATTTCACTATTTTCTTCAAAAATAATTATTTTTGGGAAATTTCACCATAATTTATTTTGGGCCATTTTTACTCCCAAAACATCATAGGTGCCTCAAAAACCTCTAATTTCACCTTTTTCTATTTTTGGGAATTTTTTAGGAATTCCTATAGAATTTCCAATTTTGTCCCTAGGAGTCAAGTATTACTAGTCTGGCTTCCTTCAATGTTCAAATTTTAGGATGTGACAACCTGTAAGATCAAAAGGAATTGAATATGAGACAGAGGAGATGAATGGAGCAGCTCAAAGACTATGACTACCAAATAAAATATCATCCAGGAAAAGCTAACGTAGTTACAGATGCGCTAAACCGAAAAATACTGCAGGTGGCATAACTAGTAATTATAGAGCAAGAACTTTTAGAAACTATTCGAAATTGGGGTCCAATTTACCAGATGTAGTTAATAGCAGAAGGAGTTAGAATATTAAAAATAGAGGCACAATTAATGAATCTGATAGTGGAAGCTGAGAGGAAAGATTAGTTAGCGGATATCCTCAAGGCCAAAATACTAAAGAACGAGACTAGAGATTATGAAGTTTTAACAGAGGGATTATTGAAGTATAAAGGAAGAACATATATCCCTCCTATTGATAGCCTGAGGGAACAAATTTAGATGAGGCATATAAAAGCAAATACACAATTCATTCGGGTATAATGAAAATGTGCAGGGACAGTAAAGAATTATTTTGGTGGCCTGGCATGAAAAAAGACATAATAGGATTTGTGTCCAAGTGCCCTACGTGTTGAAAGATTAAGATAGAACATCAAAATTTGTCAGGACAGTTAAAGACTCTGGATATACTTGAGTGAAAATGGGATAGTATCTCTATGGATTTATAATAGGATTACCTTGCACATCATCAGGGTATGACGTAGTATGGGTGATAGTAGATCAACTGATGAAATCAGCTCATTTTCTAGCTATGAAAAAGAAGTATTTGCCAGAAAAATTAGTGAGGTTATACGTTAAGGAGATAGTCAGACTACATGAGGTACTAGAGACAATATCTGACAGAGACCCCAATTTATTTCTAGATTTTAGAAGGCAATGCAACAGGCCATGGGTACAATATTGAGTTTTAGTATGGCCTACTATCCACTGACAGATAGATAGACAGAGCAGACCATCTAGATAGTAGAAGATATGTTAAGAGCATGTGTCTTGGACTTCAAGGGAAACTGGGATGAGTACTTGCCATTGGCAGAATTTGCCAACAACAATACTTACCATTCCAGTATTCAGATGGCCCCATATGAGGTACTATATAGGAGAAAGTATAGATCCCAATTATGTTGGATAGAATTGGGAGAAAGAAAGGTTTATGGTCCTGATATAGAAGATAAGACATCTAAGCAAATCAAGTTGATAAAGCAAATATTGCTCATAGCTTAGAGTAGACAAAAGAGATATGCCGATGTTAGGCGAAAACCTCTAGAATTTGAGGTTGGAGACCATGTATTTTTTAACGTATCTCTAATTATGGGCATAAAATGATCTCTAAAGGCAAGAAAACTGATGCCCAAGTGTATAGGACCTTTTTAAATTCTCTCAAGAGTTGGATGGGTAGCCTATAAGTTGGCCCTATCCCCTAATCTCAACCAAATATATAACATCTTCTATGTTTTCCAGTTGGAGAAGTACCAAGCAAATCTCACTCATATCATAGAATATGATGACATCGCACTACAAGATGACTTGACATTGGAAGTACGACCACAACGGATTGTAGATTGGAAGATTAAGTAGCTATGAAACAAGTCAATT